AGTCGACACTAGTGCACCTTTAAAAAGCAACTTTTGGCTTAATGAAGCACAACACTTGCTCATAGCTATAAATTGAGACCTCTCCCCATAATATCAAGTGACAATAATCAAATCCCAGATCCTTCATCTTCACTGGAATTAAATGCTACACCATGCAAACATCAGACTCAAAGCGTGTCAAGAAGCCATGGACTGAGCACAGTAGCCTCGTGCAGATGCGTTACCGACGGAAAGGCACACTGCAGCGTATGCTGCATAGCTATTTTGATGACTGTCGCTGCAAAGGTGTCTACCTCCTCATCCATGAAGACAACCGGTACTTTACAATTAATTTTAATAAGTCTGATGCTTCGAACAGCCACTTTCCACCACCAGACAGAGATATAGTGAGTGCCATGCGTACAGCCCTGGAAAGACGTAGCTCTTACAGAAACAGGAGAAGCATTATCCACCTCCATCTCAAACAACGTGCGAGAACTACATGCAATATCAGAAGTCTAGAGCAGGGAAGAAGGGAAAGCAAGAGAAACTTGAGAAGAAGCAAGAATAGAAGAAAGATTCTGTTTTGTTGTAAATTAGGGTTAATTTAAAATCATCACTAAGCTCTTTTTGGAAAGTATATCTAGTCGAAATTTTATTGGCTGCTTTCACAAGTATGTGTCATGATGCAGCCGCCAAATCTACAATCTATCCACTTATAAATTCAAACCACTACACTCTCAAAGTCATAGCGCTTGCTGAACCCTGAAATCATGGCTTCTTTCAAGAACCAATAAGATTTCATGTATTCTGGCCTTTCACCTCAAGGATTGTCATTATCAGTGATCTTTCACTTATAAAATATGCCTTTTCCCATGGGCATTGTTTCTGTGGCCTTTCCACTCAGCATCGTGTCATCCCCTGATGGGTGTTGGCTCCCTATGGACTTTTAATTTTGTGGCCTTTTCCACTGAGATTATGGCCCTCCTCAAGGGATTTTACTACGGTGGCTAATAGTTCAAAACTGTGGCATTCCCTAAGGGTCTTACTTCCCCAGGGTGGTTGACACCACATGGGATTCTATTTTTGTTGCCTTTTCACTCAGAATTCTGGCACTCCTCAAGGAGCTTACTTCCCCAAGGGGCTCACTTCCCCAAGGATTCCGACTCCACATGGGACTCACTTCCTTAAGGAGCTCACTTCCTCAGGCATGCTGACACTGCATGGGATTCTATCTTTGTTGCCTTTTCACTCAGAATTCTGACATTCCCCAAGGAGCTCACTCCCCCAAGGGGCTTACTTCCCTAGAGATGCTGACACCGCATGGGATTTCAGTCTTTGTGGCCTTTTCACTCGGAATTTCGGCGTTCCTGAAGGAGCTTACTTCCCCAGGGATGCCGACACCGTATGGGGTCCCATCATTGCTGCCTTTTCATGCAAGATTGTGACACTCCCTGAGGGTTCGCCTTCACCAGCATTCTCCCAATTCCCTAACTCCCATAGGGGAGCTACTCCCGGGGGGGAACCATAATAGGGCGTTCCCGGCAGATGGGCAAGACGTGGAGCAACAGGTTGACTCGACTATACTACCCACTGCTTCAGTATCACCTAATTAATGCAAGAGAGAGCAGATGAATAAATGACTCCATGTTATAATATCAAATAAAGAAATGAGTGGTTTGAGATCCCATCTTCCATCACTTGCATGATGATGGTCGAGGGCGTAATGTGCTCAGACGTTCCTTTCGCTGCATCTCCTTCTCCCTCCTCTTTTGTTTCTCCTCCTGCTTCCGCAGCCGGAGCCTCGCATTTTCAGGGAGGCAGTTGTCTGGGAGATATGTTTCCACCACATAAACCACACAGTGAACATATTTATTTTTCGCCATACTTTATCTCCAACATGATGAATCTTAGGGCTCTTTTCAACCTGCCGCGCCTCACACCAATAGTGACGATTTTCCAATTCATCATGAGCCAAAGGTTCTGTTGTAGCCTCAGAATCTGGGATATTGTCTCTGTCAAAGAATTTAATATCTCCAGAATGTTGGGACTGGTTATTTGAGGTCCGGACCACAGACAGCTGCTCGGGCGGGACGTTAAGGGGGGTAGCATTATTAGATGAGAAATCGATTTGAAGGATGAGAAAAGGGGTCATTAAACCCTTACCAGAGGCATACGTTGGAGT